TATATATATATGCATATATATATATATACACACACACACACACACACACACACACACACACACACACACACTGGGAGTTTAAGTGTCACTGGGAGTATTTGGTTTTGTCAGTGTTGCCAGATACGTTACATTAACAAGTTTTTCTTTATATGTTCTTTTTAAAAAATTAAAAAATAACATAGTAAAGAAAACATTAAATGGCCACCCATTTAGAATTGATCATGAAAACAGAAGAGAAAGAAGTAATCAACAAAAAGATATGACTGAATTTCATGTTTTTAGATGCACATCTTTTCAAATTTTTAGCTGTGAAGGTGTAGTAATTGCTTTCTAGTGGTGCAAACAACAATGGTGCTTTTTAATTTGATGGCCTTGTATTTAATAAAGACAGTGATAAATTCCTTGTAATTTGGGATATAGATCTATACAGAGAGAATAGCAGGCTGCATTGCACGAATTGCTTGTACTGGTTTGAGGAAACATTTCCATTTGCAAAGTGCTCTCTGGAACTGATGAGTAGAGCATGCTGAACTCTGGTTCCATTCCTCTGCCTGGCTGCCACTCCAGAGCAGAAAGAGTAGATGGGGCTTGGTTCTGGCAAGATAGAGGGGCATCATTCTGAGGCCATCTTTCCTTCAGTTCATCTCCAGTAAAAAGTATGAATACTGATGATTAATTTTGAGCCAGAATATAGCTGTTAAGCTTAGAGAATCTTTAATAGAATGACTGTTAGGCTGTATAATATTTCATGTTAGTTTGTTTCACTTGTTGAGTAAATATTTCTACGTTATGGTTCTTCACATCTTTTTGTTATAGTACATGAGAACAGAACTATTTCATTAAAGTGACTCTGGTATGTAATATAGTTTTTTCAAACATATCTTGTACATATCTATGTATTATTTGAATAAAAAGCAAGTATTATGTGTATATATACTTTATTTTTCACTAACTATTTTTTAAATAAATCCTATAGGTTGGGTTTTCTTCTAACTAGAAACTTAAGTTTCTTCCATCTATACATTCATACAGGAAATATTAAAGAATGAAAAGTATAGAGAAGACATTAAAATAAAAAGCAAAGAATTTTATGAAAAAGAAAAACTCCTTAGTAAAGAAAGCAATGAACTCTTGGCTCCACCAGTTGAAACTCAGATTAAAGGGCATGCTTCTGCCCCATACTTTGGAAAAGATGAACCATCAGAGGATCCCACGAGCACTGGTAAAACCTTCCAACCAGGATCCTGGATGCCACAAGACAGCAAGAAGAAGCACAATCAATGAGTGCCCTGTGGTAAAAAGTTGTTTCATTTATATGTATGTGACTATTTTAACAAATAAAAGTAAAAAATTACTTTGTGATTTTATGACTATACAGTAGTTCTCTATTCCATTAAGTTTAAGAATTCGTATTTTTAGTATGCACAAGAAATGTGAGGAATGTGCTTAGTTTTTCCCTCCTTCGACTGTTCCCATAAAAAGTATAATGTAGCTGGAAATGCTCAGGAATTTGGATCCTTAATATTTAAGGACCCTCCAAGATATATCTTGGTAGAAATCATAAGGATAGTGACCTCTCCTAAATTATTAAATATAAAAGAAAAAAATGAGAAGACTACTATTTCTGAAGAGGCATTCTATAAAATTCTAAGGATTAATCAAGAATATAAAATTGGAGCCCAGCCAGTGTTGCTCAATGGTTCAACGTTGACCCATGAACCAGAAGGTCATGGTTCAATTCCCAGGCAGGGCACATGCTAGGGTTGCAGGCTCAATCCTCAATAAGCGGGCATGCAGGAGGTAGCCAATTGGTGATTCTCTCTTATTGTTGATGTTTCTATCTTGCTCTCACTCTCTCCCCTTCATCTCTGATATCAGTAAAAACAAACAAACATAAAATTGGATAAAACACTTTTTTAAATATATTTTATTGATTTTTTTACAGAGAGGAAGGAGAGGGATAGAGAGTTAGAAAGATCGATGAGAGAGAATCATCGATCAACTGCCTCTTGCACACTCCTACTGGGGATGTGCCCGCAACTCAGGTACATGCCCTTGACTGGAATCGAACCTGGGACCTTTCAGTCCGCAGGCCGACGCTCTATCCACTGAGCCAAACCGGTTTCAGCGGATTAAACATTTTTAGGCCAAGAAAACTTAATTGATAAATGGGGAAAAACAAAACAGAAAAACCATATGCCTTGATGAGTAGATGGGACAAAAGCTTAGCTTATGGATTGAGGCTGGAATTGAGGACAAGAAGTTAGGGCCATTACAAGCAGACTATCCATTACAAAAGTCTGAGAGAAGAGGAAAGAGAAATAGTACAATTACTAGAATTCCATGAGATTAAAAATTACTTTGAAAAAATGGAAAATAGGAGAGGGTTCTAAGAGAGTGATTCCACTGGTAGATTCCAGTGACTTGTATATTGAAGAAAAATGTAGACAGATAACATTAAAACACTGATTTTATACAAAAGCATTTTTGAAGGGTCATACATTTTTCTGAAGTGTACAACAACCTAGTTTTGTTGCAAGTCTTCCAATTTTAATACAGAGTTCCTTTCACAGTGTTTGGCCTTTAAATAGGCAATCAATAAATATGTACTGAATAAATGACCCAAATGTTGATGCTTTGAACAAAATAAAGAAATCCTTGGGTAGGTGTTAACAATGAACTCCTAAAACATAGGTTAAGATTTTACTTAATAGATAGTAAAAAATTTTTATTGCTTAATAAACCACAGAAAAATACTTTATAAAATATTGTGCTAAAACAATCAAATCTAATCACTGTAACATACTTATTTAATGGCAAAGCTGCTAGATGATAATATTAATATTCCAGCAGCCCTATTATTATCTCCCATTTTGAACAATTGGCTTTTCAACCTGACAATTCTTTCATGCTGATAGCTATATGATCAGTCAGAAGTCTCTCAGGCAACAAAGGGATATGTTAAAATCTCAGGATATTGTGCTGTGAATATTTTCATGGTGTGGTTTTTTGGTTTTTGGTTTTGTTTTTTGCTTTTGTTGCTGCTTATTTTCATTTTTACTATGCATTTCCTTTTTGTTAAATTTATATTCCATTCTCTTCTTGTTTTTAAAGTGTTTATTTATAGATTAAACAGTACATTAGACATGTGCTGTATATAAGAAAGGTTAAAACAGGGAATCATTTGGATGTCTGGAATGGTAATTCAATTTACATTATTTCTAGTGGGAAAAAATGATTTGGTTTTCAAACAGCTGTCTGGAACAAATTAAGTTCGAGAAACGAGGTTCCACTGTAGAAAGTATTAGTACATATTACTATAGAGGCAAAAAAGGAAATAGGCAACATAAAAACAGGTAAAATGTGTAGTATAATTGATTGTAAATTAAGATGAAGATATTCTTGAATTCTGGATTACAAGGAAAATTGTAAATATTCTAACATGCTAGAATATTCCTATTGCCAAATTCGTATTAGCTTAATGTATCTCTTGTAGTACTAGTAAATGTTTGCCATATATATAGCCTGTTTATAGACATCTGCAGGTATGACAAAATTTACATTGTTTTTAATTTTTATAGTTTCCAATTAAAATATATTACATAAGCAGAAAAATATATATTTATTTTAATTTCCAGCTGAGTTCTTATGGGAAAATACCATGTTACAATAAGATGGTACTGGCTCACCATCATTAGAATATGCACTTTCAAAATGATTTTGACAGGTGAGGAAGTTTGTAGTAACCCATCCACACTCCTTTCCTCAAGGCTAGTAACATTTTTACGATGACTGTTAGGTGGTATCAGAATAGAGTTAAATGTCCTACATAAAAACTGATCTATAATCTTGACCTAATTAACAGTCTTTTCATTATACTTGGCTTTTAGGCCAGGTACATGCAAAGCAGAATGAAAGCATTAAATAACAGATTAGTCTACAATATTTCATATTTTAAATTGTTATAATTTGGACATTTACAATTATTTTAAAGAAAATGTTTTTTATCCCTTTAAGGCAGACATCAAACCTATGTAGTTTTTAAAAATTTTTAAGTACTTTCTCAGAGGTAAATCCTTTCTGATTTCTTATACCTCTACAATACTTGCTTATCTATATGTAGATAGATAGATATGAAATATGCAAATTATTCTGGATACCGGAACAGTCATGACTGGCTCAGGAGACTGCAAATGCAAATGGGCCCAGAGCGGAGACACAACACACAAGGGGGCCCGCCCTAGACAGCAGGCCAGCAGTCCCACCTGTGTGAGCTGCAGAGGAAATACCTTTTCTTACAGCACATTGTTTAAAATAAAACCTGAATTTATTTAGCCAAAGCTTTTTCAAACTATGTGTTCTTTGAAGAAAAAAATTAGAGGTGAGGAGAGTCTATTGATAGTCAAATTAAGTTTAAAAAGATTCCAACATAGATGCAGGAATGAATCCTAAGAATTACCTTGTTTCTAAAACTTTTAGTATTTGAACATGGAATCCCTTTAAATGTTTCAGAGATACAGAATTTGTCCAGATAGGATATCAACCAGAGTGATATTATAACAAACTGTAAACATAAAAGCAATCCTAAATAGGAACCAAACTTTAAGTGAAAAGCTTATGAGGTGTAAAGTGCCCCAGGCCACTTTCCCTTACTTCATCTGTAAGGAAAGATGGAATAGAAAAGAAGCTGTTAATTGTAATTTACTAGAAAATTCATGCACTCTGGGAGGGGGTTGCCCTTCAGCCCAGCTTGTGCCCTTTTGCAGTCCAGGAGCCCTCAGGACTCCCTCTGCAAGAGGTAACCAGGCAGGCTGATCAGGGGACAGTGCCTGCTGGCCCTTACACCCCCCACAAATCACCCCTCTATCACTGCTGGTCGCTGCCGCCCCCCAACTGCTGTCCCCTCCCCCTGCCCAATGGCACATGCCTTGCTGGCCCTGCCCTGCGCCACCACCCCGCCCCAACCCCCCTCTTCGTGGACCAATCATTCTGCCATTCAGTCAATTTGCTTATTATACTTTTATTATATAGGATTTCAACATTGGGTTTCCAGCTTATAACTTTCTAAGCTTATTTCCAGTTTGATTACTATAATTTCAAGAAATAAAAAGTTAGAAATGCCCTTGCACATTTGATACAGTAATAATACCATGCTGAAGTTTATCACATGGACACTAAGGATTAAATTTTCACACAAAAACTTTGCAGAGAGGGGATTTTAAATGTTTGCTAGAGGCAACTATCTTTATTTCCCCAAAACCAGCCAAAAAAAAAGGGGAGAGGGGTAACTGATTGTATTACTTCTCAGAACTTCAAATAATATAAGTAGGTAATTTTAAAGTGTTCTAGATAATAGTAAATGTGACTCTTAACTATAGTACTATTTGTTTCAATGAGAAAAGATTAATATTTCTAAAAAATCCAAATCTCATAGTAGGCTCTATTTTGAATTCCCACCCCCATACACACACACACACACACACACACACTGTAAAACCTATTGACCTTTTATGTATAAAAAGGCTTCCTAAGTGTTGGGAAAAGCTAAAGTAACAACAAATGCCATATGCCAAACAAATATAAAACTGGCATGTGTTTAAGACTTTAAAAGAAATTATAGGAAAAAAATATTTCAGTTAAATTAATATCTTTAAATTACCACAGCAGAACAATGAATCCACAGCTTTAATAGATAACTGAGAATTAAGAGGAATATTTCTTTTGCGGTAGTATTTTTACTCTAAAATGTGGCCATAAGTGAGACCTATGTATATAAATTCCTTTTCTGAACAACTTGATGGCAGAAACCCAAAAGCCCTTTAGACATATCTTAACCTAGTTTTTTAAAAAATATATATTTTATTGATTTTATACAGAGAGGAAGGGAGAGAGAGAGCGAGTTAGAAACATTGATAAGAGAGAGTCATCGATCAGCTGCCTCTTGCACACCCCCCACTGGGGATATGCCCACAACCAAGGTATGTGCCCTTGACCAGAATCGAACCCGGGACCTTTCAGTCCCCAAGCTGACGCTCTATCCATTGAGCCAAACCGGTCCCGGCAACCTAGTTTTTTCTTAAACTGGATTCTGCAGACACACCAGGGTCAGTAGTTATACCTAAGCATTTTTTTAAGTATTGTTTTCATTTCAATAATACAAAAAGCATATCTTGATCACCTGAAATTATATCTCATAACTAAACACTGGATTATTTCAGTACCTAGGATTGCAATGTAATGTTTACAATGGCATCAAGTAGAAACTGACAACCTAAAATAGTGGTAGTATTATTCATACCAGTCCATAAACATTCTTGGGGCCCTTAGGTTGTCATTTGAGAAACATCAGCCTCAACTTTTACAAATGAAATTCATCATCTTTTGAAAAGTCTAACTTTTATAACATTACTAACTTAAATTATTTAATACCCTTTCCCCCCCCAAAAAAATCTAAAACCTCAGGACCTCCTTATAAAAAAGTATCAATTTTATTTCAATATCTACTTTCATTTTTAAATTAAAGCTGTTGGATAATTTCTGTAATTTAGAATTCATTATTAGGATGAGGAAAATATTAATGAGCTATTAAATACTGATAGCAAATAAAATTATTGGACCATGAATTTAACTTATGAAATATGACTTACTCTTAGAGTTTCTTGAAAACAAAATTGAAATTTTAATTTTCACTGTGAACTTGTTTGATCAAAAATTATAGAACATTACTACATGAGTTCAAAAATTGGAAAAGTTAAAAGTGGTATACATATAATCAGCAAATTATCGTATAAGACATTTTAATTACTTCACATTTCTTCTTAGAACAAGAATAAACTGGTTCCAAAGTACTACAAGGGTTGGCATTTTACTGCAAGCTTTAAAATGTTACTCTAGTCAACAAGTTATCTCTAAGTAAATGGCAGCATTCATACGTATAAAATTATTATTAGTAGGTGGTACTTTATACAATCAAGATGAATTTTTCATAAAATTAGATTTTAAAAAAGGCAGAATGTCTGATAATTACCAGTCTCTCAAAGGCTAGAATGAGAAAAATGTAGAAAATGAAGTACTCACTGATTAATAATATTTTGCTTTGAGAAAGCCAGAAATGATACTAAGATATAAGCAATAATGACAAAAGATTTGATTAATATGCGGTATCACTTTTTAAGCCAAAACTTATCTTTCACCTCAGGAAAGTTCTCATTTTTACATTCTTAGTTTCCTTTGTCCAGAACAAGGCCCTTTTTGAGCCAGTATTTGAAGAGTTCATAATCTAAAGTCATTTTTTCTCCACAGGATGTATTAGGCCGCAAAACGGCAAATGACTAAGTCGGTTATGAAGCATTTTTGGCATAATAAATAACTGTCAACAGACTTCTACACAGAAGCCTAAAAGTTGCTACAGTAGCGGTCAGAACTAACACGATTCTTCCATATGCTCAGGCTTCGTTTATTAAATGCCATCATAAATCCAGAAAAGAAACCTTACAGGGTCCTTCCAAAGCTGCCTCATTTCCCGAATGAGTTTCCTCTGGTCCCAGAGCCTGTTCATGCCTTCAATCCTTTTTCAGTCGTTTAGCTTTTGCAATATTTTCTTGGCGCTTTTGTTTTTTCTTTTGCTCCTTTTCCTTGGCCTCAATCATCTTGGCCAGTTTCCAGGACAGTACAGCACTTGCTAGAAACAATGGTGTAAGGGCCAAAATAACTGTTGTGAGGAAGCCATATGGATCCTTTGCAGCCCATTCCACAACATACTCAGCCCAAGCCTTTACGTCAAACATCTCTGTAGCAGTGTGAGGGAAAGGAGACTGGAAGGAGAGAATAAGAGAAAAGAATATGTAATTAATCAAATTTTTGAACAAGTTACATTATACAATCTGTTAACTCAGAATTCCATTATCACTCATTAGTTGTTTTTTAAAAGTACTAATTAGTACTATTTTAATAGACTAGTATCTCCAGTTAAGAAAGAATAATTCAACTAGGACAACAAGAAAATTGACACTTAAAAGATGTGAAGGTATAGAAGATAAAAGTAAAATCCATGTGGAATCTGTCATAAAGGCTATGCATTCTCACATGCTGCCTATATTCAAGATAAACTTTATTTAGCTGCAAAGTTTTGAGTTTTATATACTCATTCCAGGAAACAGATAAGTCCCATTTATTTTGGGGTGTTTTTTTTGTTGTTTGTTTGTTTTTTACATAGCCTTAGTACTATTAAGTGTTAATTAACAAAAATACAAATCATCAACTTTGGTGTTTGAAAAAGACAAGTCAGGGTACAAAAAATGCTTGGAGTAGGAGAAGTAATGGATGGCCATTTCCAGGAGTAAAAAGAAGCTGCAATACTATCCATTCATATGCAAAGAGATATAAGCAAAATGTGACGTGCTATTTTATGCCCTCTTTCAGCTGTAAGGACTCCTACTTGAAGACATAATTTAATCAATGATAATACATTTAATAATGGGAAAATTAACCATGACAGGTGCCATGGATTTTGTTCCCTTTTGAGTTGATAAGGGAAGACCATCTGGCAAATGAGGAAAGTGTGGATTTGAGTGTCATTTTTTATTTTGCCCTAGAGGCTTTTCTACCTTTCACATTTGTGTCAACCTCTATTCAAAGTAGAGAATTAGAATTCCTTGGTAAGAATGGGTTTATGTACATTCGCTTACAATGTCAGTTGGAATTTAAAAAATTACCTTATGCTTGAGTTGTGATCTCTAACTTTGTCCTGGATTAGTGAGCCAATTACAGTTTCAGATGGATGACCCCTGGTTGGCTGTCGTCGTCTTTAGCTCTACTACTGAGAGAAGGTTTAAATTCTATATGCTGGGTGGGCTAAAAAGAATAAAAAACAAAGTTTAAATCACAATTTTCAGGATAATTATAATACAATTTTAAATAAAAAATTTCTCTGCCCTGACCAGTTTGGCTCAGTGGATAGAGCATCAGTCTGCGGACTGAAAGGTCCCAGGTTCCATTCCAGTCAAGGGCATGTACATTGGTTGCGGGCACATCCCCGGTGGGAGGTGTGCAGGAGGCAGCTGATAGATATTTCTAACTCTCTCTTCTCTGTAAAATATCAATAAAATATAATTTTTAAATGAAAAATTTCTAAATACTAAATATGCAACCTATAAATGACACCTAAAATTGCCTGGCACATTATAGACATCTAATATCGATTTCTTCCTAATTAAAAAGAATCACAACTGTAAATGCCTTAGGAGAAAATCCTAATTACTGGAGCCATTTTACTAAATAGCTTATTTCAACAATGCAATTATGAATTTTATAATTCAGTGACATAAAAAGATGTTAGCTCGCTGATGTTATAGCGTATCCATTCCTACATCTGAACTTTTTACACTATGTCGTCGACTACTTATTTATAGGATTAGGTACATTAATTACAAAATCAAATATCTCTCCTTAAGCTTTAAAGTTTTTTTTCTCTCTCCCTATTACACGATTCGTATCCTCCCTAGAAGGATCAAAGATAACCAAAACAAGACATAAATCACCCACAGTCCCATCACCTCAAAAAAAACTATTGCGACTGGTTTTAACTACAGCCTACGATTTCTTCATATTTTGAACTGGACACACAGTAAAGTGCCTAAGACTGGTTAAATATCAGGCTCACCTTCCCACCCCGCAGTTCGGACGCCCCACCCACAGCGGGAACTACTAGATATCCGCCCGTTTCCACTTCAGCCCAGCAACGACCTCATCAATGCAACACTCAGAGATAAGAGAGGCAGTGTGCCATAAGGAATAAAGCCGGCGTGAAGGGCCGGGCTCAGGGCAAAGTTCTCCACTGACACAAAAGGAGTTACCGCGCACAGCCCGCACACCTCCGGGAGCTCCCACACTTGCAGGAACAATGTTACTTGGCGCTTCCGTTAGGGCTCCACCGAGCTGCTCTCCGGCCGGAGCCGCGCCCCGCGCCCCGCGCCGCCGCCGCCGCCGCCGCCCTCCCGCCTCCTCCCGGGGGTTCCCTCCCGCTCCGTCTTCCCTCGTCCCCCGACCCGGCCCCGGGGCCCCCATTCACCCGACCTTTCCCGGCCCCGGCTAGTGCGGGCCCCGCGGGGCTCCGGAGCGGCCGTCCGGGGGCGCAGGGGGAGCCCCCGCCACCCCTCGCGCGCTCGGGCCGCGGCAGCCTCCGCCCGGCGCCGGGGCCGAACCACCGCGAGCAGCCCCGAGCATCCCCCCCATCGCGCCCCGGGCCTTGGACTCGGACCCCAACTCCTAACTCACCGCCAGGCCGGAAGCAGGAAGGCGGAAGCCCCGCTTCCCCGCCCCGCCCACACGTCGGCCGGGTCCAGATCCGGCCTGGGGAAGCCAACGGGCCAGTTTCCGGCTGCGCGGCCGCCGCGTGCAGCCCGGGACCGCGGCTTCCAGGGCGGGGCTTCCAGGGCGCGGGGCGGGGCTTGCGGGGCGGGGGCGGGGCTTCCAGGGCAAGGCGAGGGGGCGGGGCTTCCGGGGCGGCAGGTGAGGCCGCGGGGGCGGGGCTGGCCCTCGGGAGCGGGTAGGGACCTCAGTGCCTCTACCTTGGCCCCGAGGCCGCCAACAGCTCCGTCCCTGCTGGAGCCCGTGGGGAAGGGTTGGGGTTGGGGTTGGGGTGGGGGCGGTCTGGGGCCCCTGGAAACTCCGACCTCAGAGCGGCGGCGAGGAAGGCGTAGGTCCCCAAGTCAAGGTGAGGGTCACACCACGACTCCGTTAGCCGTAGCTTTAGCCGCACGTAGAGGAGACAGAAAAAGTTGGACCCTAGTGGATGCACTCTTGTTACTAAGGGGCAATGCAGCCATGCTGAGTGAGGACTTTCTGCTGTTTGTTTTTAATAAGTACCTAGCTCTCATGTCACAAAAGAATGATCGATAGTTGTCCAAAGCAAACGATAAATAATTAAACGGCATGGAGTTCCCGCAGAGGCTGTTGTTCTTTCAGTACACAAAGGGATGCAGAAGTCAACAAGCAGGAGTGAGTGAATAGTGTCTTCTAATCTGCAGGAACGGAGAGGTTGGCTCTGGGTTGGTTGGTGACCAAATTTTGTGATTGCTTGCACAAGTGTTGCAAGACCTCTCACTGTTGTATGACAAATAAAGCAGGTTTTTATTCCTGAAAGACTATAGAATGTACTCTTTGAGGAGCAAGCTGAAACATGTATAACTCGTTTAGGTATAACAACAGTAACTATTATTTACCAGGGAACAGGCTCTTGGCAAATAATCTGATGATCTAAAACAGTGTTCGTTGGGTATATGTTAATGTTTGTATGTTTTATTAGCAGCAGTTGCTTTCTTATTCTTGTTTGAAAACTTGGATGATGGTTTCAAAGCTACTCTGACCGAGCCTGTACCTGTTGTGGCCAGAAAAAGCAGCGTCAGTCCCTGGAGTGACTGAAAGTGTTTACTGAAAACTACTTGCTGGAGGTAACTTTATGCGGATTTTTAAAACTTGTCCAAGCAGTAATTCCGGGAGGGGGTCAGACTTTATTTTAATAACCTTCATTCCAGAGGCCAAGGTGGAGAGACAGTGTTCCTAGTTACTGCTTCCCCAATAGTTTGCTCTGCTGCAAACCTTGTTAAACACATAGGAGTCCTGGGCCGGGGGAAAAGTTCATGAGAGCCCTAGCTGGTTTTGCTCAGTGCATAGAGCGTTGACCTGCGGACTGATGGGTCCCAGGTTTGATTCCGGCCAAGGGCACATGTCTGGGTTGTGGGCTCGATCTCCAATAGGGGGCGTGCAGGAGGAGGCAGCCAATCAATGATTCTCTGTCATCATTGATATTTCTATCTCTCTCTTCCTCTCTAAATCAATAAAGAAATATATATATTTAAAAAAAAAAAAAGAAAGAAAAGTGCATGAGAAAGCCTCTGTAGCTCTTTGGCTCTAGTGTTCCACCATGCCTTCCCAGTTTAATGTTACTGAGCTAGCTTCCAGGTCCAGGGCAGGCTGCAAGCCCAGGTAGGGTATAGAGTTGCCACTGCTGAGCTCCTGTTGCAACCTGCATTGCCTGAATGAGAGGCGGTGTCAAGATTGGTTCTTTCTGTAGTGAGAGTCAGTTTGTGATTCACTTGTCTCTGCTGATCATGTGTACTCTAAGTCGCTCTGAGCCCCTTTCCCCTTCTATTTGTGTAGTATACTACTTAGCACTGGTATGCTTTCCACTTTCAAATTCTATCAGTTGAACTGGATTTGGCCATTTTTCTGACTTATGTTTCATAAGCAATGCAGAGTAAGGAAGTTAGGGGGAAACATCATAGCCAGTTTTGTTAAGGTCTTGTTCTTTATTTGAAAAAGCCCTTAAATGGGTTTTAATTCTCTCTCAAATGTCTTCCAGAATACCAGCTTAGAATAACAAGGAAATGAGGTCTGCCTGTATTTATTTTTAAGAACTAAAACTGTATCCATGTAACTTACCAAATTAACTAAACCTTACACTTTTAATTAAGTAGAGTTTGTCTTTGCATAGGAATTGATTTGAGAGAGAGAAGAAGAAAGAGAGAGAGAAAGCGAAAGAAACATCCATTTTTGTTGTTCCACTTACTGTTGTTCCACAGCCTTGGTATATCGGGGCAATGTTCCAGCCAACTGAGCTACCTGGTGATTTCAAATAGTGTGCCACAAGAATTTTTAAAACATGCAATACCTGACTGCAGTCAGGGGCACTTACCTCTTTCCCCTTAGATTGCCAAATAAAAAAAATGACAACAGCCAACACAACAATAGCTGTATGGTGTGAACGAGTCAAAATTTTTTAAATTTTGTCAGATGAGCAAAAACATATTTTTTATTGTGCTGCAGAATTTTAGTAATCCTATATAATAAATGCCTAATATGCAAATTGCCTCTCAGGCAGTCGTTCAATTGGGAGTTCAACCAGAAGTTCAACTGCTCATTATGACGTGCACTGACCACCAGAGGACGGCACGGAATATGGCAGGCATCGGCAGACACATTTGCTAGCAGCAGGCGACAGTGGAGGTGCTGCCAGCCCCGATGGGCCCCGACAAGAATGGGACCCCCGTGGGATGGTGGAGCAGGTGAGCAGGCAGCACCAGCCAAGGGGGGTGTGAGCGGGCCAGATTGAGTGGCAGCAGCAGGAGCTGAGGGAGCCAGGTGTGGGGGGCTGATCTCCACAGGCCACCCCAATGGATCCCACCCGTGCACGAATTCATGCACTGGGTCTCTAGTTAGTTGATGTGTGTCATGAGATGAAAAAAGCTGAAAATCACTGCTTTATTGCAATTGTATATTTGAAAATGGAATCTTACAAAATTGTAACAGTTTTGTTTTGTTTTTTTTTCTCTTAAAAAGTTAATTCCTAGTCATTGTCATGTGTTTGTTTATAAGTATTTTCTTTGAATGGTACAAAGTTATATTTTACCCTGACTTGTGTCAAAACTGTGAATGAGTGAAACCTGAATAAGATTCACTTGTAATCTAGACCTGACTAAACATTTTGAGAGTTTCTTACATGTTCAACATTTTGTGCTTATTTCCCTGCAGCAACACTTTACATATTTGACTTACTTTGATGGAATTGGTTTCTTCCCTAAGTCTTTTTTTATATTGTGAGTTTTTTCTTCCATAGATACACAATGTAAATACATTTCTTTATAGTCATATTTCTGTGATTAAGAAAAGTAATAATCAAGTTTTAGTGCTATTTGGAAAATCATACTAAAGAAGAATAATTTTTAAAGCTATTTATTGAGTTGTTACTGTGTGCCAGGTACTGAGCTAGATGCTTCACATCTATTATCACTAATTCTGAGACTAAACAACCCCCCTCTACAGTAATCTTATATCCATTTTACAGATAAGGAACCAGAGACTTTAAAAGTGCAGCAGGGCCCGACTGATGTGGTTCAATGGTTGAGTGTCGACCCATGACCAGGAGGTCTCCAGTTCAATTCCCAGTGAGGGCACATACCATGTTGCGGGCTTGATCCCCAGTAGGGGTGAACAGCAGATCAATATCTCTCTCTAATGAGGGTTTCAATCTCTCTATTCTCCCCCCCTTCTAAAAAAAAAAAAAAAAAAAAAAAAAGTACAGCAGGATTCTAAACACATCTGCCTAAATCTCTGCCTTTTTTTTTTTTTTATGTCCAAAGACTTGGCAAAAAAATATAATTTTATAAAATGAAAATTGTGCGTTTTGACTCTATAATTAACTGATAATCACAACTAAAATCTTCCTATACTTCAAAATTGCCTACTGCCCAGGTGGTGGCAGCATCTCAAAGAGCTGTAGAGGTGCAGAAGATTCTCCATCCTTGACAGTTGATTTGCTGCTTCATCTCACATATGTGACCTGTCTGCCAACCTCTAACTTCTGTATTGGGTCTTTCACTGTTAGAGCAGCTGATCAGTGATTCTGTCACCTCTGTCTTGTCTTCTGAATGGGTCCTACTCTGCCAGTTTGCTTTCAGCCTGTTTTGCTTATAAAGCGTCACCAAGTTACTGTTTTCTAGAAAGGTCCTTTAGGTCTATCCAGTAACACAAATAATTTTTTTTTCCCAATGTTACTTTTCATCCATTGTTAAATGTAATTTTAATAATTAGCTAATATTATGAAATATTGTTTAAATTACAAGGCATTCTTGAAAACTTATGGGATATACCAGTTAGGGAGATAATGAAATACTTTTAAAAGATAGAATTAGTTTTCTATCTTTTAGATCTAGACCTGACTAAACATTTTGAGAGCTTTCTTACATGTTCAACATGTTGAACATGTAAGAATGAGAAGATTCAGCAGGGAGCAGTGCAATGTTATCTAATTCAGAAGGAATGCTTACACATATATAGCAGGATAACTAGTTAGACCTACTTTAGCCCAAAAATTGCTTATAACATTAGTTTCATATTTTTGCATGGCTACTGCCTTCCTTCCTCTTCACAAACGCCCTCTCTACCCCTATTTATTTTTTTCTTTTTTCTTTTTTTCACAATACCTCATTTTGACATCTATTTTGTTTACTGATTTAATGTATTTTTCCTACTAGATTGTAAGTTATATGAGATCAGTTAACCTAGATCCAAGAATATTGTTTTGAATAATTGATTCCAAATTATAGCATTACTACTTAAAAATGAAATTGTTGCCGAAACCAGTTTGGCTCAGTGGTAGAGCATCGGTCTTCGGACTGAAGGGTCCCAGGTTCGATTCCGGTCAGGGGCATGTGCATTGGTTGCGGGTACATCCCCATTAGGGGGTGTGCAAGAGGCAGCTGGTCCATGTTTCTCTCTCATCGATGTTTCTAGCTCTCTATCTCTCTCCCTTCCTCTCTGTGAAAAGTCAATAAAATATATTTTTTTAAAAATGAAACTGTTAGTGTTTGAACGAATCATGAAATAATCTAAACCCTGGGGAGTTGTGAAGCTCATATGAAAGTACCAAACTGTTGCAACAGGTTTGGAAAGTAATAAGGGATGCCTCAGTAAAAAGGGTCTCAAGGTTAGCAAATAAGATGTGTGGGGGGAGGTAAAAAGAATTGTGATTATCTTGTTAATGAAAGAAGACTAGTTGCTTAAAGATTTCTAAGAATGTAAAAGTGTGCACTAGGAATGTAGCGATTCATCATCTTCATTGATAAGATAAAGGTAATTTGTCCTAGACTGTAGGTGCTGAGAAATAAGATACAAACAAGCTATACTGGAGATCTAAACAGAGATCTTTGAAAATGGACGGTGATTATATATGCAGGCTAGATGACCTGTGTAGATATTTCCAGCTTTATGATTCCAAATGTGGATTGCAGAAGAAATACTGGAATTAGATAGCAGATGCTGCTCTGGCTGATTATTCCTTTCTCTCCCTGGCCATTTCCACACACTTTAGAAACACTTCAGTGTTTTTGTGCACAGTCAATATAGGTGGTTTATGTGACACTGCTTTTAGTTTACAGAATTGTTTTCACTTAATACCAAAAATTGGGTGTTTTTGCTTTTTTTCCCCCCCCAATATATTTTATTGATTTTGTACAGAGAGGAAGGGAGAGAGATAGAGAGTTAGAAACATCGATGAGAGAGAGTTATTTATCAGCTGCCTCTTGCACACCCCCTACTGGGGATATGCCCGCAACCAAGGTGCATGCCCTTGACCAGAATCGAACCCGGGACCTTTCAGTCCCCAAGCCGACGCTCTATCCATTGAGCCAAACCGGTTTCTGCCGTTTCTGCTTTTTAATACTGAAACTGTTTACCTTTACAATTCTGTATCTCCAGAATGTAATATATATGCATTTGCAGCAAACTAATTCCCTGTAGAGAAAAGGCTACCCTTTTGAGGGGATAAATTTTTTAGCAAATACATCTGAAGCTTTGGTTTGCAATTCTATTAAAGTTCTGAGAAACACTAAGCTTTCCTGCTGAGTCTAGAGGTTCAATTATTAGGCCTACCTCTAAATGATGTAATTATACTAGCTGTGTCAAGTCATCTGTTATTTCTGTTCCAAGGTCTCCTAAAGACTAAATAAGAACTATTGTCCAATTGGAAAAACTAATCCATATGGTATAAGAATTCTTTCATGTAAAAGCAATATGTATTGCAAAAACAGCCCAAGCAATATCGCCTTCACTAAGTAGCATTTTAATTTGACAACTTTGATCTTCACCTAAGCAAACTATTGGAAGTAACCATATAAAACATGTTAATCATATTTGCTGTATTTTCAAAAACATTGTCCTTTCTGTCATGGTACCCTTTATATAAAATCCCATTTAAGATAGGCTGTTATTCTAAAAAAGTTCTGGAAGCCACTTTAAAATTGTTTTCATTTAACTTGTAAATGTATATTTCAATTAGAATTGACATACAATATTATATTAATTTCTGGTGTACAATATAATGATTAGACATTTATATACCTTACAAAGTGACCATCCCAAATCTAGTACTCTTCTGACACCCTATATAGTTATTACAATATTATTGACTAGATTCCCTATGCTCTTTATATTGTTGATTATATTCCCTATATACTTTATATCCCTATGACTATTTTTACAACTGGCAGTTTGTACTTCTTAATCTCTTTTACATTTTTCACCCATTCCTCTAACCTTGCTCCATCTGACAACCATCAATTTGTTCTCTCTATCTGTAAGTTGGTTTCTGTTTTCATTGTTTATGTGAAATCATATAGTATTTGTCTTTTTGTTAGTTTGATTTACTTTACTCAGCATAATACCCTCTGAGTCCATCCATGTTGTTGCACATGGCAAGTTTTCACTCATGGCCAACTAATATTCCATTATGTAAATGTACCACAGCTTTTTTATCCGCTCATCTACTAATGCACACTTAAGTTGTCTCTATAGCTTGGCTATCCTATCTAATAAAAGAATAATATGCAAATTAACCATCACTCTGCTACACCCACCAGCCAATCAAGAGCAAGTATGTAAATTAACCCAACCAATATGGCTGCAGCCACAGAGTGAGCAGGAGGCTTGGGTTTCCCCAGTAATGGAGGAAGCCAAGCTTTCACTCAAGGCTACAAAGTTTCAATTATAGAAGATAAATAAATCCCAACAAAAATGGTAGCAGCCACAGAACTGGATAGAGCAGGAGGCTTGAGTTTCCCCCAGTAATGGAGGAAGCCAAGCTTTCTGCATACCCTGCCAACCTACTGGGATCGGGCCTACACAGGTAGTCAGACACCCCTTGAAGGGTCCCAGATTGGAGAGGGTGCAGGCTGGGTTGAGGAACCCCCACTCCCACCCTCATGCATGAATTTCGTGCACCGGGCCTCAAGTTTTAAATAATGGTGCAGCGAACATAGAAGTCCATATATATTTATATTTACAAATTAGTATTTTAGGTTTCTTCATATAAATACCCAGAATTGGGATTGCTGTATTATGTAGTAGTTCTATTTTTTATTTTTTCAATAACTTTCATACTGTTTTCCATAGTGGCTGCACCTATTTTCAATTCCACCAAACAGTATTGAGGGTTCGCTTTTCTTCACATCCTTGCCAACACTTGTTTTTTGTTGACTTATTGATGATAGCCATTCTGACAGGTGGAAGG